GAGAACAACAGTGGAAGAGCAAGAGCAACACAGACTCGATGACATTTGAGCTGGGCCCTTTATAGTATAAGAACAGATGAGCATTTTATTGTATGTGGTAGGGAAGGTTGAACTATTTGAGTGACTAATATATGCCAGGAAATGTGCTGAGTGCCTTTTTAGTTTTTGTTTTTGTAATGACATATTTATAGTAGGATTTGCCTGGAATGGTCAGTTACAGTTGTTTTTTTGTTTTTTGTTTTTTGTTTTTTTTTTTTTTTTCATTCTATTCTCAAGATAGTCCTAAAAGAGGATACGAGTGCTGGGCCTAGATAGTCTAAACCCCATTTTATAAAAGAGCCAGGATTAGATTCAGTTCCATCTTTTACAAAACTCCGCTTGCAGGCAAAGGAAGTTTACTCATTTTTCTCTTAAGATGTTGACTGCTTCTCCAGCAAAGACAAAATGAGTCTCTGCAGGATTGCTATTTGCTGTCTAGGCTTTTGGGCAACTGAGACGTTCACATGTAAACATGTGGCAAATTGCTGCTTCTATAAGAACTTACCCTTAAATAACCAGTCCTTTATTTTTCCTTAAGCTTTCAGTTGCACTAGTCTCACCTTCTAAGACTGCTGCTATTTTTTTTGTTTTAATCTGAAATTCTTTCTTTGGTGTTGAACAGGAATATAATGAAAGAATAATCATTTTTATTTTATAATGTTTACTGTAGCAATAGGATTTTTTTATAATTCCTTTACTGTAGGTATGTTGCCTTTATTTAAAGTTAACTTATGATTGATTTTTGTGCTCTGTCTTTATTATACTAAACACCTTCTACAACCAAAAAATATTTACACTGGAGATAAAAGCAGAGTTTTAGTAATGTTAGAATTATTTTTTTTCACTTTACCATTTTTTTAAAGGTTGATTAGGGTGAAAGGTAGGAGTGGAGGAATTTTGACTAAGAGTTACCATTATCAATTACTTGTAATTTTAGTATTGTTATTTATATGTTGCCTTTCTATAAAATGAGAAAGGAAGACTTTATATGTCTGTATTTAGACTAGCAAGACTCACCACTTTGTTTGAAAGTCATATTCAGTTGTGGTATAGGTCAGTTTAATTTGAATAAACTGATAGCTGTACTAATTTTTTTAGATCTATAGGAATTCAGATATAGAGAATATTATTTGAAATAAATCAGTAAAAGGCTGTGTGTTTAGTTTTTGTTTTTGTAATGACATATTTATAGTAGGATTTGCCTGGAATGGTCAGTTACAGTTGTTCTTATGCTAGCTTGTAAAATATGGTGATTTTAAAATTAATAATAGTTGGATTAAAAAAAAATTTCTTATTCTTCAACAATTAGAAGCCCTACATGTTCTTTTAATTTACTCACAAGAATAATAAGTAAAAGAGAGTCAGCCATGGTAGTTTCAGGAGACTTTCTCAGGCTCTTTAAATCCTGCTGCTTCTCACCACCAGGATCCTGTTGCCCCTTCGTGATCTTTTGTTCTTCCTGCTTTCCTTGAGCACTAATTGGGCTATTGCAGCATATTTCCTGTCTTTCTCTTTACTCCTTTACTCTCTGAGCCAACTCCTTTCTCACCAGTGCATGGTATGCCTATGCTTTGGTACAGATGCCAGGAAGGGGCGGGGCCAGATTGTTAAGAGCTGCTGTGTGGCTGGATCCTTGACAGTACAGTCAGCCCAACCAGTCTAGACACAGTCTCAACTGTTTGAGATGGGAATCGATGATGTGAAACTTCTTGCAGGAATATTAAGTCTTGTTTTCTCATGTTTTAATTTAACTACATATTTATAGGTGTGAGGCATATGTATGTGTAATTATTTTGCAATGTAAGAGAATAGTAGAAGTATAGTTAGAAACTAGTACTTTTTATCCCAAGGAAAATTGATCATCTTCAACATATTTGTAAGTCTTTAGGACTTCTCTCTAGCAGTATGCTCTTATATTGAGATGAATCAAAGTGTTTCCTTTCACCATACTCTTCAGGGGCATTTTTTTCCAGGACTTTCAGGTCTTCAGACTGCTGCTTTCATGAAAACATGTGATTTAAGAAGACACGTTAGTGTGGGGCTCTAATAGGAGACTTGTGATTTTGGATGCTGTCTATCTGTAATAAGCAAGGTTTTTTGTTTTTGTTTATTCGAGTGAAAGAGAAAATTTGTTTTGGAGAGAAACTCAGTTAAATTTAGACTCCCTCCAATTCAGTGACTGATAATCACTTTACTCAAAAACATTCTGCTTCTTAATGGTTATCCTTGATTGTTCCAAAGGGGGAGGAGGAGACATCTTTCCAATTAAGTTGCACCTCAGTCTGTCTCTGTATGGATGGTATTTGAATCCCCAAACCCAGACATGCTGCTCTGTCCTCTCACCTTAGCTGCTTTTGTAATTCATCATCCTTCCCATTGTCTTTAAACATTTATTTCTGAGAACAAGATATAGAAATGATTCAACCACTAATAAAACTGAAGATGATTTCTAAACCTATAAATTTATTTTGGCATCCAAAACAACAAATTGCTTATACTTGTGATAATATTTAATGCGACTCATTGGCTGTTCATTCTCTATACTGTTTTTCTTAAAAAAATAAAAGGTAGAAATGAGACTACTTTGAACCAGCAAAGAGAGATTTGGGGACTTGAAGTCCTTTATAGGATTTGACTGAAGTATGATTTGAAACTATTTCCACTTAGTCATCTTTGATTGAATACTCAATTGAACACCCATAAAAGGACAGTTCATTCTATAATAGCTCTGTGCTTGCATGACTCTGCAATCTTATGCAGAGAGAGGGAAAAAAATTAAGCTTGCTCCAGACTAAAATGGTTCACGTTTAGTTTGAAAGTACTCTTAGAGTAGGCTTAGTAAAGGAGATACATATACAAAAATGAACATCTTGATTCTTTAGGAACTGCCTTTCTTTGAAGAAATACTAATGATAATGTTATTAAGTTCAGCAGTCTACTTGCCTTATTGTATATTCAGATTAAACAATAGGAGAAAATTCCAAGAATTAAGCAGACATATTCAAGCAGGAAGCAGAAGCAAAAATCTTCAGTTTAATTCTATATTTTCAGGGCGTTTTGTGGGCAGTTAGCCTAGGTGACTTTAATGGTATACGCATCAGCTGCACCATGGCTAGATAAACAGGCAGGAGCCAACTGTGTGCAAAAGGTGTGAACACTGAGGACAGGACTTTCCACCTCCTGTGAGGAAGGAAGGAAAGAATATTGCAGCTAGACGTGCAATAGGTCTGGACGTTAGGTCTGGACTGAGGTCAGAGTTTGCACAGCTTTTGACAGACAGCCTGGACACAGGAAGCCATCTTCCCTCAATTAAAAAAAACAACAACACAATTATGCACTTCTTCCCCTCTCCCACACACATATAGAATAAAAAAGTCTTTACCGTGGGTCAGCTTATATCGACCTTTTTGGGTAAAAGACTTTATTTCTTTGGAATTTCAGAAACAAGAATTTGTTTTCTGAAAAATCCATGCCATTGGATACCCTTTAGCTTGACATGTGACTGAAATTTTTGTTTTAATCCATTTTCTACAAAGGCTGCCTTTATATTTATTAAAGATGACAAACAAAAACCACTTCTTCTTTCATTACATTTTTCTGCTTTCATGTTCTGTCATTCTGAGCTCTTTTTTTCTTTCCCTCTCTCTGTCTTCTTTTCCCCCAGCTGTCGGCAGCATCCAGCCCCTCCAGTCACAGTCCTCACAGAGCTTCAGGAAAGGACCCTTTTGCAGAGCTCTCTTTGGAGGATTTCTTATAAATCACTTTAGGTATTGCTGCTTGTTGGGGGAATTGGGGACTTAAATACTTAAAAATTATCAAACACTACATAGTATTCATTCTTCTCCTTAGTTTCTTTAAAGGACTTTAGGTTCCCCTCTTTCTCCTCTTCCTTTATTCTCTAGATGAAGAGTGAAAATAGATCAAGATAGGACATAAGGACAAACAACTTTTGCAAAATATCTTTAACATAATTAGAAGGTGTGAAATCAAAGGACCGCCTCTCATGTTTATATGTATGTATCCACTGCTCACAGCAGATGGATGAGATCAAATACCACCCTTATAAACTGGGTGTTTCAGTCAGCCTTAAAAGAGTTATAGAGAACAGAATAGCACAATTGTACACATCGGCCTAGAGCTTAATTAGGAGCGTCTTTAGTTTTAATGTGATGGTCAGGGTTAGTGTGGAGAATTCATTTTAACAATTTCTTTAAAGGGTTATATTTTTATGTATGCCTTTTCTTCTAAAAATAGTAACATTTCCCCCCCCCCCCAAAAAAAACAGGTTATATTATTATTATTTTTTAATTAAGGTCAAGAGAATCCTTGTGGTCTTTTTGATAGAAGGATTCTATATTTGTTTCACACTGCCTCTTTTTGCTGAAAGACGGTGTAATTTGTTGTTCTTGATGTAGATATACCTTGACTTTGTACTCTTCTGATTTGACCAGTTTATTAGCACTTCTGCTTTAGTAATGTCTTTGGATGAGCAATTTAAGGGATATCATGAATGAAGTATCTGAACAGTTGTAAAGTATTCCTTTGTAGATCTTCCAGATTTTATAGCTGTAAAGAAATGATTTAGCAAGCATAATATTACCATTCTCTTAATTATCTCTAATCTTATGATATTTGGAAATAATATTTCAAATTTCGCTTTCTTAAAAGATTTTTATGTGAAATATTTATGTTCATGGAAAGGTGTTCTGTATTTATCATGGAAAATTTGTCTTCTTTCTTCTCCTACCTTTCAATTTTTAGTAATTAGAAAGGTATTTGGAAATCCCTGTATGCTTCAAATATTGAGTTCTGGCGTCTGATAAACTGATAATACTGACTTTGTTTTATAATCGGGGTCACTTCTGGGCCAGTTGAATGGTAAATGCCACAAAGCATTTTTATTTATGAGAAGACATCCTACAGCGCAGTGAGTTAATTTATACTCCTTTTTTTTTTTCCAGATACAGTTTATGTAACTAGATGGAAGAGAATGGAATTTTTCCAAAAAGACAAGTGCTCAAGCAGCAAATACTTACTTCCAGCAAAATCCAAACTGCTGTCTCTTAAACTCTCTTCTTCCATTAGAATGCTACAGTAACCCAGTGAAGGCCCATGAAGGAAGTTGGGACTAGTCTATAGGAGAATGTATCTATACAGTTTATAAAGCCAAGAATTGCCAGGATTTCAGACTAAGAGCTGTCTTTTTGGTGACTAACCCTTCAGTTCTTTCAACTCCTATTAATACCCATAATTAGTAAGCTACCAAGAAAAGCCCTTATTTGGGAAGTGTGAAATTTGTATTTGGAAAAGCTGCCTGGAGAGAAGAACTGTGTTCTTTACTATAATGCAACAGGACTCTTTGGGGGGGATCAAAATCATAACTCTTAATTACGCAGTATCTTTCTTTACTCCAGTCCTCACAGATACAGACACAGTAACTAAAGTTAACTTTTCTTTTTAAAAAAATTATATATTCAGTTTGCAGTAGACATTCCTTAAGTATTTGTATTTATTTATGATTATCGATTTACATAACATTAATATTGTATCAAACCTCCTTATGAAAATGAGTATGGATGTATACGGTATGTTTGATTTTTATCCACAAGAATGAATCTGATTCAGAATGCTTTTCAGCTGACATACAGAGCACTAAATATTATAAGGCGAGTCCATAGGTCTGAATCATTTAAGAATTCTCAGCCTCTGTGGGATTTAGGGAAGCATTATAAATGCATTAATCCTTATAGTCAATTCTGTGCCTAGGATTTTGCAAGGGAACAGTTCACTGACTAGGAAAAGCACTACATTTTAAATTCAGCATTAGTGCATTGGAAAGGAACTTTACTGCTTTGTGCTTGGCATGTCATTATTTTCCATGTGACATTAGGGCCTTTCAAAAATGAATGTGAGGAATTGCTTTCACTTCAAGACTTTCCTTCTTTTCAGTAAAACTGTAGGAGGTGTTATGGGGGGAGGGAAGGGAACAAAATCCTTAAACCTTTTATTTGGCACATGCCATGTTATGATCATATATCTTTTAAATAATGGGAAATAATATCTTTAAAGTTAATGTCTAGCCAAGAGTTTAGTTAACGAAGAAAACTGCACTGTTGATCGGTGCTTTGTGTAAATACATCTTAACATTTGGATTGAGAGGGGCCTTAAGAAGGACAGTTTGTTGTAGGAAAGCAATTCTGTACATGAGTTTAAGCATACTTGTTGCATTGTCTCTGCAGATTCTATTTTTGTTTACAATATTAAAATGTATGTTAGCAAAAATGGGTGGATTTTCAAATAAAATGCAGCTTCCACAAAACTTTTGTTATGTTATTCTGGTCTGAGGTGCATTTTTTTTGTTTTTTTCCTTTTTCTTTATTATAAGTATTTTTATTTTTTATTTTTTTCTCATAGAAGCATATGCAGGTAATTATATTTGCTGATTTAATAAAATGTACAATTTATTTCTGTTTTAACTTGATTTCCAAAAAGATTTATCTTTATTCTTTTGATTACCTTCTAGTCTCTTACTGATAAACAGAACTACTTATTAAAATTGTTCATTTTTGTCTTGGGATCAGATGCCTTTGGTCAGGTAAGTTTAAGGGAGAAAATGCTTTGAGTTTGACATTCTGATGCATGTGATTATGTCTGCCAAAGAAAATTCTGACTGTATCATGTTTTATATTGAATAGTAAGTAGGATTCAGAGTATATAATAGAGGGCTTAAAAGCTTTGTGCATTGATAAATGTTTGCATAATATTTGCGATGGTTGGAAAAAAATAGTCTTTAGCCAATATACTTTGTTAATTTTACCAATTTCTAAGTTTCACTATTATTAAACCATTTTCATATAAAATTGTACTTTTGTAAGTTAACTTCCTTGGCATTATCACAGATTTTGATTCGTCTCTACTGGTGTTTGAGTAGATGTTATATTTGAGGTCTATGGCTCGTTCTTTTTATATTACCTTATTTTTTTAGTATGTTTCAGTTTGTGAATATGCTTAATTAACATTTCCATTTTACTGTTCAAACAGCTTTTATGCTTGTTGGACAGGTATTATCCACATTTTACCCATTTTACAGATTAAAATCAGGAACCAGAAAAGGAACTTGTTCATATCAAGAAGCTAACAGACAGAAGAGCCAGGTCTTTGGTTTCATGGTTCATTGTTCTCTGACCCGATGTTAATTAAAATGTATAAACTGAAAAGGGAATATTTTCTCTCTGTGGTCTAGACTTGATGACCACTATTCCCAGATGATCTTCTATGGATCACGTTTCCTGCCTTTATTCTGATGCCCAGACGTCATTGACAAGGAAAAACACAAAACACGTGATCATATTAACTTTAATCAGAATATAACAAATGAGGTAATAGAGCTGTTGAATGTATAACTAAATCAGATTATAAACCTGTACATACTCATACCATCTTACTATCCAACTAGCAAAGTTAGCAGTGGCTACAGAGAGAAAAGATTATTAGCAGAGGGCAGCTATACTCATCCGAAATCATTTTCAAAATTCATTTTTTGCTTTTGATTTAACAATATCATTCAGTTTTTTAAAGAAATCCTTAACCAATGACTATGAGAGTTCATATTTAGGAAGAGGCCTTATGTGAGACTAGGAATCTTTTACTTCACAAGCCAACAAAACATGACTCTAGAAAACAGGGCTTTATGGGGTAAATTTCTTCTTGAACTAAAATAACCTCAAGGCTCGTCTCTTGTTCATCATCATCAACAAACATGTTCCAAATTCTGAAGACTCAGTACTGATGGAAATGCTGTTCATCACCACTACATGGAGAAAAAGAAAATCTCTTCGTTCAGGGTGAGTGTGGCGCCTGTGTGTTCAGCAGTGGCTGGATCACAGAGTGTTTGGAGAAGCCACCGCACTCAGCCAGATAAATGTTTACCTTCCAGAAAAGATGGCACTACAGCTTCCTTCAGTGGCCTCTGCAACTAGCTTAGATCTTTTTTTCTGTCACACTTGCTACCTTCCATGGGTCTGACTAGCCCTTTTGGAATTCTGCAATTTGAAAAGATTGAATAGAAAGGCTGCAGTATCATCTTACGTGCAATCTCTCAGAAAATCCGAAGCTGATTTCCTTGACTTTATTAAGTAGTGTTCTGTTTGGTGTGTCAGCAATCAGAAATCTTTTCTAAGCCACTAGCTAGTATGTCTAAGTAATTTTGGTAAAAGTATCCCATTTGTTATTGATACAGCACACAGTTGTAGTTTTTCTGTTGTATGAAACTGTCCACATTGTCAGAGTTGTATGAAGTTCTTTGGTATTTCTTTTGGGGCAGATGTGACTATCTTGACTGTAGGGTAGGTTAAACTGATTATGGGTGGACAGCTAGAAAGAAAAAAGCAAGGAGAAAGTTTTATGGAAACTATTTCCTGATAAGTTCTCATTCAGATCACTTTTTATCTGCTACAAAGGCTAATTTCAAAATTGGTTTTGAAATAAAAATTGCTATGTGAGAATCACTTAGGGAGCTAACCCTCTCCCTGTCTGAGCCTTCTGCAGTCAGACACCCTCCTGTCTCCCTTGAGACTGGGCAGTGTGCAGCTGTCCTGTACTCCTGATAAACAAGGATCAAGTTATCTTGCCCTTGACTGGGACTTTAGGAAAGGGCATATCAAGAGAAGCAAGCAGTCCCTACTCCCCTTCATGCACCTAGATTCCAAGTAGTATGTACTAATTGCAGAACTTAAAAGTTGATTTCTTCGGCCCTTCAAGAACACTTTGCATGGAAGCATGAAACACACTGCACTGGCTTTTCCAGTTGGCCTACTAGTCATCTTAAAAGGCACACAAAACAAAATCTCTGATAATTTTTGTCCTGAAGTAAGGTAGGGACTAAAAAGCTTGTTACCTCTATGTAATTACATGTTGAGGGGAGGTGTCAAGCACTTGGAGGAGGCAGAGGCACTGCAGTCGGAGGGAAAAGACTCAAATATCTCATGAAGCCCAACAAGTAGATCTTAAGAGGTAGATGTGAGGATATCTGCACCCATCGGGTGGTGTTCATAACAGCTACTACTAGCAGCTAATCTTTTACAACTTTACTAATATGCAGAACAATTCATGCTGGACAGAATTTACCTCACATATTTCCAAAGTAGAAATGATGGAATCACAGTTCACTTTGTCTTATGAAACTACAATAAATTAAACTGATGTCATACTGGCTTAAAAAAAAAAAGAAAATGAACAGAAAGGGATAAAGTAAAATGGCTTCCTGACACATAACTAAAATCTTTATAATTTTCTAAATGATAAAACACTAGGAACATCTTTTGTTCTAACATTTGGTCTTTGACCCCAGTTCCTGACACAAAGTTTCTAAATCCTTTGGAAATAAGTGGGTGATAGGAGTGACTTTTGTTCTAATAAGGTGACTTGATGGGCTCCCGAATAACTTCAGGATGGAAGCCAGTCACCAAAAAGAACTAGCCATGATTAAAAGCTTGGAGCTTTCAGTCCCAGCCCCATTCAGGAAGGGGAGAGAGACTGGAGACTTTTCACCCCCGTGTGATGATGATGCCATAAAAATCCCATTATTAAGGGTTTTCTAGAGCTTCAGGTTGATGAACATACCTACATGCCAGGAGGGTCGTTTGCTCCAACTCATGGGGAAGGAAATTCCTGCACTTGAGATTCTCCCAGACCTTATCCTATGTATCTTCATGTGACTGTTCATCTATACCCTTTATCATATCCTTTATTATATAGTAAACTGGTAAATGTTAAGTTTTTACCTCAATTCTGTAAGCCATTCCAGCAAATTATCGCATCCAAGGAGGAGGGCACAGGAACCCTGATTTATAGTTGGTCAGTCAGAAATACAGATGACAACCTGGACTTGGAATTGGCATCTGAAGTGGGAGTGGGGGAGCAATCTCTGGGACTGAGCCCTTAACCTGTGAGGTCTTTGCTACCTCTAGTTAGAGAATTATAGAAGACCCACCTGGTATTCTATAATTGTTTGATACGGAAAATACATATCTGGTGTCAGAAGTATTAGAGTAAAGAGAAGATGGACTATTTAATAAACTAGTTTTACTAGCACCATATATCTCTGGTGAAGTGGGCCAGAATTCCCTCCAGCATATACCAAAGTAAATTCTAAATGGGTTAAAGAGTATACATGTAGAGAATTAATGATAAGAAAATATAGGTGACTGAGCCAGATAGGAAAAGGGAAAAGATATTTTTTTAAAAGTTCACCAAAGAAGTACTAATGAGCAATGAAAAAAGTTCATCTGTAGTAGTAACTAAAAATTTTAAATGAAAACAATAGTGCTTTCCAAGTGTAAGGTTGAGTGATTTTATTTATATTTGTTCATTACTCAAGTCTGTGAAAGAGGCAACCTTTGTTTTACCTATTTTATAAATGAAGAAACTGAGGCCTAGTGAGGGTAACTCTCACTGTGTGATCTTTATGAGTTAAGTGGTTGAGCTGTTTTCCTGAGTCTCTGTGGTCTGGCTCTGGGTCTGCTCGTAACCACTGTCCTGTGTACTGGTGCAGAAGATGCCATTTTGCCTATCGAACAGCATTTGTGTATATACCAGCATGGGCAAGAGTGCACAGAGTAATTGCTAATCTGAAGCTGAGGTGAGTATAAGGCAGTACAGTTTTGTTTTTTGGAAGGAAATTGGCCATAACTGTTAAGTCTTGAGTGTTCCTATCCTTTGTCTAAAAATTATACTTTTAGTAAGTTTACTGAGGGAAATAGCCTAGGGATGGCGTTTTGGCTAGGAAACTTGCCTTAAATTGTTGCGTACCACATGAGTTTAAAGACAGGAATTGTCCATATCAAAGAATAAGAGATTGGATTAATGGGATGCATCTCTCCCTGAAGCCACCCCTTGAGACAATCCCTATAACAAAATATCCTCGGTCTAGTCAGTTTACAGCAGCAGATAGTAGACAAACTCAGTGCAGATCTTTACTGCCAGCATCCCAGATTAGAGGCCAGTCTACACAACCAGGCTCTGCCAATTCCCAGGCCAACCAAGAGTAAGAAGAGAAGTTTTTGTCATCGACTCTTTCAGGGCGGGGACCCAAATCAGGGTTCTGCCTAGTGCCGTTCGGACCACTAGAACAAGTCTGAGTTTGGTTAAGCAGAGCAGAAACTTTATTCTTTAATCAAGGAATAGAGAAGGGTGAGCTCATGCTTTAATGGCACTTTCTCCCCAACTGAAGAGGAGCCTTCTGTATAGGTTGTGGCATAGGGTTTCTAAATTCTAGATATGCATAGTTATTTGGCCAGTGGAAGAAGTAGGAAAGTGAAATAAAGACTCAAACCTTCCCTTTGGCTCCAGCAATTAGGAACTTAAACCTTACTCCGAACTATACCCAGACATTGGTGGCGGGCAGAAGCCAGATTGCATGAAAGAAAGTAGAGGTATCAGGAAGGTTAGCTATGAACTAAAAGAAGTAAAGGACAATAAACAAAGGGAATATTGGCCAAGGAAGAGGATTTTTTTAGACGAAAGTAAATTCAGCTTCTGATTAAGATGGTATAGTAGATAGAAGCTATGCTTGCCTCCTCTCGCAACCACATCAAAATTACAACTATAGAACAGCCATCATTAAGAGTCGCCTGAAGTCTAGCTGAACAGAAGTCCTATAACTGGGGACACAGAAGAGGCCATCTTGAGACTGGTAGGAGATGCAGAACGGGCTGTTACCACACCTGCGTGTGGAAGTTGAAAATTGGGAGAGACATCTCGGCTGTTGAGATGTCTGGAGGAGCAAGGGGTCTCGGCCTCACATCGGGTTCCCTAGTCCAGGGTTCCAGTGCTGGGAAGAGAAGTACCCACAAGCTTTAGC